AAGCTGCATGTGTGTGTAGCCTAAAGGAATGAGTGGTTCGAGAGAAGCCAGAATTCCAAACAGTGAAAGAACCTCATGTGCAGGGTATAAAAGAGAAGCACAAGTTTTGGTGACATGACATTTCACTGCCCATAGACATAGTGATGAAGGCTGAGTTGGAGTTGAAAAACAAGTACAGATGAAACAAGTGAGAAGGAGAAAAGACTTGGAAGGCTTAACAAGCCAGTCCAGCCAAGCAGCCTCTCACAGAAAAAAAGTAGGTATGAGAAAAGGAATTCTCATAAAAAGGGGTGAGGAGAAGCCAATTATCCATGTAATAAGGGAACCTAAGCACCTATCCATGAACTAGGTGGGCAAATATCGCCATGACTCGATTAAGACATAAGGAGCAGACGCAATGCCACAAGAAAAAGCAAGGAACTGGAAAACCCTATCTGATGGGTGAAATGAAAAAGTATCTGGAGGTAGAGGCAGTCAGAATGTGTAAAACAGTGTCCAAAAAGTCAACTTTGGTCATCCACAGTCTGGGTGAAAGTAACAACTGGGGGGAAAAGAAACCCTACATATGAAACTGAGAGTTGATAGGCAACTGGTTGAGAGATGACAGGTCAATAACCAGATGTGAATTCTTCTTGGGGACCACAAAAAAACTAGAGTAATAACCACTTGTAGGTGTATATACCATCTCAAGGGCATTCTTGGCCAAGAGATTTGAAACCACATCCTTGAAACACAGAAGATAGAGGAGGGAGGAGGAAAGGAAACAGAGAGACAAGTGGAGAGATAGGCTGTGGGTGAAACTCAGACGAACACATTTGTTAGACAAAAATGCAGGTCAAAGTCTGATTAAGAGAGACAGACAAGTCCCCAAAGGGCTAGACCTAATAGGATAGTCACCAATGAGATGAGCAATGACCCTCACATCAGGAAGTGAGAAAACAAGAAGTAAATAAAGGTCGGGAAGCTGGAATGGGAAACGAAGACATCAATTTAACCCTTTTGAGATGGATCACGGGTGAAAGGCCATGTCATATTGGTTGTTGACTCAAATTCAAAATTGTATTGAACGGCTATTTCATGAATTTATGTCTATATGTTTGATATCAAACTGTAGATTATAATTCAAATTTTAGTATTGCTCCTTTAATAAATCACAGTGTCACCCCACCCACCTCTTTCCATTTTTGGAAATGCTCCCTCATGTACACTTCTATATATGACATGAATAGCCAATCAGAAGCTCAGAATGTCCCCTAGTGGCTTTCTAAGCCATTTTAACAAGCTTGGTATCATTTCTTTCTTTCTTTTGAACCAATATTTCAAGGAGGTAGGATGTGTCTTTAGTCTGCTCAAAATTTCATATTTTTTTACTGAAATACATCTTAGTTACTAAGCTTGATAAATTATAGTGGAATTCTATGGTATTAATGTAGTAATTTATGACTTTTTAGTTATTCAAATTTATATATATATATATATATAAAACCTAAAAAATTATTTTGTTTCATATACTGCACGTGTAAATTTTTTTAAAAGCTTAGCAACCTACGTCAAGCAGCAACTGAGTACAAAGGTCGTAGCTAGAACAGATAATTGTTTATTTTAGTTACTCTTAGTTTTAAGAAAAAGAAGTTTAAGAACTTACTTCAAAATAGCAATAATCTATATACATATATAATGTATAATAATTGAAATGTGATTGAATTTAAAAAAATACTAGTCTACTGAAACACAGCCAAGACAAATTACTTTGTAAAGACCAAAGGTCAGTTCTATGTTATTTGATACGGTAACATGATAGATAGGCAACATGTAAAAAGAAAAAAAGGCTTGAGAAAAACACTGTTTTACAAACCTTAAAACTTAATAAAAAAGAAGCATTGTAATGTTTATTAATAATCTGCTAAATTTTGCTAACATTCACTTACTAATTTAAAAGTTATAGCATGAAAACTATAACAAGCACAAAATGGTTACTAAGTCAGTCCCAGGGACTGAGCCCATGCTGAAAGAGTTAACAGATCTAGTAACAGAAACAGAATGGTGAAATTAAGAAAACCAAGAAACTCTTGTAGACAATGAGGACTGACACCAGGTCACTTCAGCCTGGGTCTCCAGTGAATCAAGAACACCCCAAAAGACCTCTGGGCAAAGAAATGGAGCCTGACAAAGATCACAAAGATAAGCATGAGGAAGGCATACATTATTTAGAAGAGCACCCCATCCCAACAACAGAGAAACCACGTAAGGAAGGATAGAGCAGAAGAAGAAATACAGGCCAATGTGGTAAAAAGAAGAGAACAAATCTATTCAGATCATAATGATGTGCCTCAGACATAAGATGAAGTGAGAAGGTTATGTAGGAGGGTGATAAAAAAGACATGAAGGCATGAAAATTGGGCACAAGAAAAGGAAATAGAAGTTATTAAAAGGACAGAAGAGTCAAGTATACAAGAATGGAGCATGTTAGTACAAGAGTACAACTGTTTGAGAAATGAATCTGAAAGGACCCTAACATCAGTTAAAGAAGGGTTGACAAAGTAGTCTTGAGTACAGTTTTCATGTAGTAAAGCATGTGAGGAACCAAAAAACAAAGGGAAAATAAAAGAACATACCTATGAAATCATGTCAAGAAAGAGATTGGAACGGTGAGGATTCTCCTCCACAAACAATGCTGTGCCTAGAGCAAACCCTGGTGAGGGAAGTAGCTGGTCAAAATCATCATCATTCTGATCATGTTAAATTGGGAAGAAAGAAGATTGGTGAAATGGGTGGGAAGAGGAGTCCCAGTGTGCATGAAGGAACCCACAATACAGTGAACAATGACTGTCATGTTCTACACAAACAATAAGCCCTCAGTAGCCACAATAGAAAAAGGCAACGTGTTAGGAATATTGTCACTATCACGGGACAAAGCAGAAGTTAACATTACCAGAGAATTTATAATGGTAAGCAACAACACTATTAAAAGTAAAAAAAAACGTGTGAGTCACCAACACTAAACTAGGGAAATTGAAAACTTAAAACCATCAAAATTATCAAGTAACTGATTAACAATTGTTAATCACATTCATTCTAGACAATTCTGAGAAAAAGAATGAAGTTATTTCGAGAACAAGTGCATAAGGGAAGCTACTATGCAAGGAGGTTGTTTCACCTTCCTAATGATGGAGGGCTATTGTTGCATGATGATGTCATGATGCACTGGCATAGTTCATGTTAAACACATGAGGTGGGAGGTAGCTCAAGGCTAGTGGTGTGCAAATCTTATAGGCAGATGCACAAAGAGTCAAGCTATTCTGTGTGAACAGGTGAAGTATTGTCTCGGAAAGTGTCTCAATTAATGAGTGATCTTGTGGCATATCAATATTTTACAATATGATGAGCAAATATTAAATCACATAACAAGAAGCTTTTTGTAGTTTGCCTGTTACTCATAATTAAGACTATCTGTTTTTAATTGTAATTATTACTGTAGAATTTTGACAGCTCTTTTGGTTGAATCTGTTATATAAGCATGCTAATTAAAACTAGCATAGACCCACAAAATATTTGCAGTCAAATAAGTATCTTTATTGCAACAATACTTCTTTAAGTATAGAATCTCTATAATAATACAAAAGAATTTTAATTGGAGACACCCAAATATACAACTCAACTTGTCTTAGGCCAAACATTAGTTACGTCTTTAAGTATGGCCTATATTTGATACAGATATAAATTAACACTGTAACTTGTGTGCATTTTTTGCTTTGATATATTTTGGGCTACACTTCACCATACATAATACAATCAATAAATAAACTTATAATGTTATTCTACTACCTAAGGTTAAATCTTAAAAACTTAGATACGCTTTTAATATGTTGTACAAAATGTTCACATCCAGTGAAACAAAGTGCACGTACATGCACATTTAGATAGTAAAGTGTGCATGCATTTTCAGGACAGACTAAAAATAAGTATTATTATAATACTGTTTAAAACTAAGATCTAAAATTTCACAAGCTTAGAGATTAGCTTATTTCTCAAAACAGGTGTACATAATTCTGAAATAATTACAGAAGTGTTTTATTTTTATTTATTTATTTGAAGTTAAGCACAAAGCTACACAATGGGCTATCTGTGCTCTGCTCATCACGGGTATTGAAACCCGGTTTGTAGCATTGTAAGTCTGCAGACATGCCGCTGCAGCCCTGGGGGAATTACAGAAATGACTTTTATAAATAAGATATATTAACATAAATACTATCAATATACATAAGTTTTAATGATATAAAAGATATTTCATTGCAATGTTTCTTTCAATAAATTGAAAGCATTATGCTTTTGACTGAATTTGTTGCTATTAAAAAGTATGCAAGTTTGTTGGAATGAAATAGATAAAAAACAACTACCCTAGCTGTACAAAGATATAAAAATTGGCCTAAGTGTTTAATACAAACTTTTCTTTATGGGGTTATTAAATATTTTGTGAAATGGTTAAGTAAATACAAGAACAAAACAAAAAATATCAATGAATCTTTATGTCATATGACTTAAACTCCAACAGCAAGCAAAACATTGGAAAACCCAACAGGCCTAAGAGGAACATGGGGAGGAAAAACTTGCAATTAAACCTGTTCTTATAACAACCAATAAAGCTTGAGTTAAAGGATCTGCACTGTCTATATAAGCGTGCGTGTGCGCGTGTGTGTGAAATTTAGCTTTCAGGTCTACAGTTACAAATGTATTGTGTAGTTGCATAATATAAACAGCTAGTGTCACACACAGTGGTTTTTATTTCATTATAAACTGTAAATAAAAATTAAATCCAAGTTCACAATTCATTGATTATTGAGCTTTCTTTTGAAGCATCTGCTTCAAATATAGTGACAATTAGGAATTAATTTTTTACAGACAGAAATGCAGCAATACAATATATTGCCACTGTGCTGGAAAGAATTAATGCACTGCATCAATTATTTTCAATTAATAGCTATACATTATATTAAAGTTACCTGTCAAAGCTTGTATGTTCATTCCATCCAACTTGTTTGATAAAGTGTCCTTTGCAGAAACTTCCAAAAAAACAGACAATAAATTGCATTACAAACTTAAGTACTGTAGCAATAATCTGCTGTTGTAATGAATCTTTCTTTCAACAAAATCTACTTCATTTATAAACACAGTTTTCTTAATCTTAACAAGATAATAATTCTAAAGGGAAATGCTTGAGAAGCAAAAATTACATTTAATCCTTCACAAAAAAAAAAACTAAATAAAATAGTAAAAAAAAATTCGACATCTTTTTATGACGTATTGTCACTTCACCAAAATAGTATTTATCACATCATTACAAGCAATCTTCAATTTAGCAGTGTTGCTTCTAGGATTCTTTCATGTAATGAAGTAGGTATCAACTTCTCAAGTCATAAAAGCATAACATAAGCAAATAACTTTTATTTGAAAAAACAGTAAATTGAATCATTGCAATTTCTTTCATTTGTGTATGTACTGAAAATATGGTATGCAAGCTAAATCTGATTGATTAATTCACTTTCATCGAAACATCTACGCATTCACTGACAAAACTTACATTGCAGTTATCTTCTCTGCACCTTTTTTCTTTATATATTTCTATTTTTGCATCATCTTGATGGAAAAATGTAGTGATTTATTTCTTATCTAACCGCTTCTTGAACGTCTTCATACCTTCAATTTTTTCCACCATTTTCAATTATCGATATGCCATATATCAAGGGAATCTACCGCAAAACCAAATGATGTCATAATGTAGTCAATCACATTCTTTTCCATATCCAAATGAGCTATTAACTGTTTGGAATTTTCTGGTTATGATCACAATCTATTGTTACAAAGTCATTCATAATACATTTTGAAGGGTGGGCACACACAAAAAATTAAAATGCATACTTCAATTCTTTTTTGCATGGAGTAGTATGCAGGTAAATGATTATTTTGTGCCATTGGCAATCAAAATAGCTAAATATGCAAAGTACGCATCCTAGAAGCAATGCTGCTTTAATATATTTAATACTTTTATATTGAAACAGAAGATAAAACCTTAAATTAATGAATACCTTGCTTTTCTTGATCAAAATTGAATCTATCAGACAAAGTGGTACTGAAAGATGAAACAGTATCAGCCAAGGCTAAAAGGTGCATTTGGTCTAGACTTGAAAGCCCAGGAAGGTGAGTGTGTGTTAGCAATTTTGTCAGTAAATGAGCCTAAGATAAATAACAATAAAGTTCTTACATTATACAGTATTATGTTAGTTTCACCTTAAAAAAGAATTTTGCTGATATATCAAAACTTGTTTAGAACAACCTCTTTCAGGACTCCAGTTCACAATATGTACTTTTTTGACCTTAACATCCATAAGTCAATTTTTAGTAGTATTGCAGCCTAAACAAATTTTAATTACCTTCAGAGCTTTGTATGTGCTTGGGACCTTGGTTCATTAACCAACTGGAACCAGTGGTTGTTATGCCACTGACAATTCAATTAAGGAAATGATTTAACATCAATTAATGTATGATTCAGATCCTGTCTATACATTTAAAAAATTGAGAATTTGTTTACAAAATTAAGAAAACCCAAATTGTTTTTGATATTAGTGAAAAGCTCCACAAGGATTAGCTGCACTCACCATCCATAATTTGGAATTTATAGACTAGAAGGAAGGCAGCTAGTCAATAGCACCAAATCTTAGGCTACTATATTCAAATAATGTGATTTTATCGTCACTCTTATATTCCACCAATGCTCCAAAATGAAGATAGTGAGTTTTCTTTTTTAGCAACAGAATGTGAACCATGGACTCTCAGATCTAAAATCTGACATGCTAACCACTAGGCCATGCCCAGCCCATAAAAACAAGGAATCTCTTTGGAGTGTTAATATACAAATAAAGTTAAAAAAGTTCATCCTTGGAAAAAAATATATTAACTTTTTTTATATGTTGATTTATCATCCTCTAAACAATTCTATAATTTTAAACCTAATAAAAACTATGTTAATAATCTATTTATATAAGTAAATAAAATGTTTATAAAAAACACATGATAGGGGAGGAATGATCATGTATAAAATAAACTGTAGGTTAATGTGTATTATTGGCAAACTTTAACACAGATTTAAGGAAGTGATACATATACAGATTTATAGAATGAAAAAAATATTTTTATACATAATCTAAGGAAAAGTTACTGCTGAACAAAAATACTTCCCCTTAAAATATTTCATGCCTTACAAACACAAGTAGTTATTTACAATTGTCTATTCAACTGTATTAAATACATTCCACACAGTACCTAAAAGACTTACCTGTCTTTTGTCAAACAATGTCAAAAAAGAGCGTTCCGGTACGTGTAATTTTTGTCTTTCCTTTTTTGAACCTAAGCTGAAACTATTGCTCAGAATAGCATCCAAGGAATCTTCCATTTCATGAACTCCAGTTGTAAATAAATCACTATAGTCCTGAAGTTAAATTAAAAAGGCTTTGTGATTGACTTTTACAACTGATTTTAATAAAGATTAGTATGATTCACACTTAATGCAAAGACTAAAAAATTCTTATTGTTTTGCTATGGAGTCTGGTGCAACAATCACACAAAAATTATACATACAAGATTCATCAAATACAGTACTCAACCCATCACTGTTCAAGCACAAAAGTTCTCAATGTTGAATATGTTTAGCTACCAACCTTTTTACAGTAACTCAATGTCGATTTGAAAGATATTTTTCATGGATGAAATCTATGCAACAAATTATAATAAAAAGAAAGATTTCTAAATATATTATACATAAACAGGGATTAAGTGCATTATATTAAAACGATTTTGGAGCCTCACCACGTCATTACAGTCCAAATCACCACATCCAATTATGCTCTAATTAATAACCATGCATCTTGACAATAGCTCTGCAACTTAGTTTCCAATACAAAAAGCTCTTTCATAAGAATCTCATGTCCAACATATCTCCACTTCCCCGCCAGCTTTCCATAATCTACCTAATGCCCAAGAACAACACTTTCACAGCACCCATTTCAACAGTCCAATCATACAGAAATCAATATGTGCTGCATCTGGTGATTTGACTGATTTCATATAGATTAGCAAGAATAACCATTTCATTCTCCAGATACTTGAGGTATGCAATGGTTGAACAGATATGTGAGTGGAAGCAACTTGTGTTCACAGAACTTGTCATTTTTCCAAACAGATATTATTATTAACTATGTTGCATACTCTTGCCTGGAACACTGAAGATTTTCACCATTGTCCTTTGTGTTCTTGAATTCACCTTTTACAAGATCCCACACTTTGCTTACCACAACAGATATACAACTTCTTGCATGGCTCTTTCTGGGTGGTCTTGGTTTCCCAAGTTGATCCATATTCCTTTCTTTACCAATGCTATTAAGTACAGGAGATATCCTTGTCTTGGAAGTTCAAAATTTCCATTCTAAGTGCATAAACATTTTGCACAAGATATGGCTGTTACATACCCTTCCCAAAATGCATACATTTATAAATGAAAAATGTGGGCCAAAAAAGGGGCATATAAAGCTGCAGTAACTCCTGACTTCCCAAAAATCACAATAGCTTTTAATATCTTAGAATTATATGTCATTTTGCAAAATAAATTTTAAAAATAAATTTGGTGCACCCAAATAATTTGAAACAAATAGAGAACACAATCCATATTGTATAGCCAATGCTCACTAAATTCATTTTTCACTTTAAAATTTCTACAGCACTAAAATAAACAATATACCTGTGCAATGTTCCCATCTTCTGTATGAGTAGGGGTTGACCTTGTGGTTATTTCCTTGTCTGCATCTAAAAGAGTAGATAATGGTAAAGGAGGGATAGAAGTGATTTCAACATAGTCTAGCTGGACTTCTTCTGGATAAACTGATACTGATCCTTGAGGGTCTAGTGGACTTCGCAGGTTGGGTGAAGTGGGAGCTAAAGAAAATGCTCGGGACTTGGCCCAGGAGCGAGGACTACCCCTCGCATCTGTCTCATTGTCTTCAAAATGATCAGGTACTTGTAAGTAGTTCTTCTGTGTCTGATGGACAAAGTAAAGAACAATTATAAAATTAAAATCCCCAAGACAATAAACATTTTCAAAACTGCTTTTCAAGCATTCATTCACCATACACAGAATGGTAAATGTTAACAACTCATATAAAAAAAAATCAAAAGACAGTTTTAAAGTCG